CCAGCCCTCAAGCCTTCAAATCTTTTCAATTTAAGTCCATTAATTACCAAACGCACCCTAACTTCTGAATTCCTTCTCAAATTAAATCCAGAACTTACACTTTTAACCCCCAACTTCTAAAATTATAACAATTAGCCCTTCGAGACCATCCTTTGATATATAATTATTTATTTTAGGGCTACTAATCGTTCATTAATTAATTTATTTAACTTAATAAATAAACGGGTGTTACAGTAGGGCACCAAAATGCAAGGATGGCAAAACTGAACTTAAAGAATTATACATGAGAATACGGGTGTTACACATTTATGAAGATTACTCCATGAAAAAATCTACTCCTTTATTCATAAACTATGCAAATATTTACGCGTTGTACAGAATACAATTATATAGTTGAAATCTTCATAAATATATGTTTTTTTAGATATATCAATGACGTTTTTGTTAACTTTGATATAATAATATTAATACTAAGTTAATATAAAAGATTGTTTATTTTGAATAATATGATAATATCAACATCTTTTAAAACTATATGATCTTAATTGTTTCAATGGTCTTTTTATCCGCGTGTTACTCATTAATAAATTAAATATAATATATAGGTAATGATATTTATAGTTTTTGATATGATTAATTATTTTTCTAAATTTTTTTGATAAACATTTTAATTTTTATCATTTTAATTATTTAACACATCAAATATTGTGGTTGTTTTTAAAGGTTACGATATAATTTTTATATATAATTGTACTTTTAACTATTTTTATTGTAAGTTATTTTTATACTATTTATTTGGAAACACTTAATTATTATAAAAATAATTTTTGAATTTTTTGGTTAATTTGAGATTACAATTTAGGTTTTACATTTAACTGTACAATTCATAACTTTTAACTATTTACAAAATAACCTTTAGATTTCTTTTAAATTTAATTGCAAATCCGATCTAAATTAACTCTTTAACGTTTTATTTAAACTAACAATTTAATTATTTTATACAGACTATTCAAAAAAATTGACTTTAAATTGACAATGGTTCACATATAAAAAATATCCAAACTAATAAATATAATATGTTTAAAGTTAAAAACATAATTTTATAAGTAGAAGTAAAATATGTTATTTTAGTATTGAAGTCTAGTTAATTTAGAATTATAATATGTTTTTCACTTGTTTAACATTATTAATCAATTTACAATCATAATGTGAAAAAAATCCAAAAGTCATAAAAGTTTCAAAAGAATGTGGTGAATGAAAAAATGAATCTTTATAGTATACTACTATGTGTGAGACCCATGTATTACATGTGTTTATTTAAAAAAATTAAATTTTAAATTTTAAACATTTGAAAAGTTTGAATTTATAAGAAAAGTGAAAAAAAAAATATCGAATTATTAAAATTAAACCGTTTTTTTCTCTTTTAAATTTAAACAAAGAATTTAGATAAATAAACAAATGAAATTAAAGATGCTTTAGTTAGTAATTTTCAAATTAGAAGGAAAGTTCATTAATGAAATTGATATGCAATTATTAATATATTTAAGTACTATATGAAATTTAATAAAATGAAAAAAAAAATCATAAAATGACATGTGAAAAAAATTAAAAATGATAAGAAAAAATCATGTGACATAATGCATTAAAAGATGACAAATGGCAAAATCATTTTTATTTATTAGGGAGGATAAATATAGATAGATAAATATAAATATAAATATAGAAATAGATATAAATAGATTAACTTTGATATAATAATTTTTATACTAAGTTAATATAAAACAATGTTTATTTTGAATTATATGATAATATCGACATCTTTTAAACTATGTGATCTCGATTGTCTCAATATTATTTAGCCGCGTATTACTCATGAATAAATTAAATATAATATATGATTTAATGATATTTTTAGTTTTTGTTATGATTAATTATTTTTTTAATTACTTTATAAACATTTTAATTTCTATCATTGTAATAATTTAAAACATCAAATATTATGTTTGCTTTTAAATGTTACAACATAATTTATGTATATATTGTTAATTTTAACCATTGTTATTGTAAGTTATTTTTAGGCTATTTATTCGGAAACGCTTAATTATTATAAAAATAATTTTAGAACTTTTTAGTTGATTTGAGATTACAATTTAGGTTTTGTATTTAACTCTATAGTTTATAACTTTTAACTATTTACAAAATAATCTTAAGATTTTAAGTTTAAATGAAAATCTAATCAAGTTAACTCTTTAAAGTTATGTTTAAGTTAACAATTTAAGTATTTTATACAAACTATTCAAATTTTTTAACTTTAAATTAGCAATGGTTCACATATAAAAAATATCCACAGTAATAAGTTAAGTATAATACGTTTAAAGTTAAATACATAACTTTATAAGTTGAAGTAAATATCTTATTTTAGTATTGGAGTTTAGTTAATTTAGGATTATAATTTTTGTTTTTCACTTGTTTAACATTATTAATCAATTTACAATCATTATGAGAAAAAATTCAAAAAGTCATGAGACTTTTAAATAAATATGGTGAATGAAAAAATGTATCTTTTTATAGTATAGAAGGTTGATTCCTTATTCAATAATAATTTTCTTTATCATATTTAAAATACTATAAATTAATAAAAATCTTAAATATATTATAGATGATAAAATAAAAAGAAATTAAATAAACTAACCATTATAAATGATTTATTTTAAAAGAAAATAACCATTTTTTATTTAGTTTTTGAAAAATAACAAATTTTCTCCCGAATTTTCCATATGTGATTGTTGTTCGAATTCCATTATATATATATATAATATATATATATACTAATTTATAACACGTGCGAATCACGGTTATAAAATTTATTAAACTTTCATATTAAAAAATCAAAATTATTAATAAATTATTTTAAATAAATTACTATTTAAGATATATATTTTTATTATATAAAATTATAATTGTTGATTTAAATAAATACGTAAAGTTATATCACCTTATAATTTGTATTAATTTAATTTTTTAATCTAATGTTATTAATTTAATATAATTAGAGTGAAAAATTTAAGATCAATTATTAATTTAATGTAATTAGAGTGAGAAATTTAAAACTTAAATTTGAAACTGATAATTAATAGATTGACAAATGATATGATAGGTGACATATAATATTAATGAGGAATTATAATAGCATGACACTTGTCATTAAGAGAATAAACGTATTCATTTATTAGAATATATATATATATATATATATATATATATATATATATATATATATATATATATATATTCAAAGAAGTTTCTTTCTTTATATCTAAAATGTTTGATTTTATATTTGAAAATAGTTCATGGATCTCGGACTTGTTTTTTAAATTTTGGAGTTATTTTTTTGAACTCTGAAATTTGAGTCCATAATCCGGAATGTCGGCCCAAAATATAATTTTATTTCAATTTTTTTCTGTCTGAAATCCTTTGTTCCGGACTTAGTTATTTTTCCAAAAACAAAAAGTTTGGTTATTTTTCTTCAAATACACATTGCATTATGGTTAGATTACTCAATTTCCATAAATAAATAAGTTGTCGGGTCAACCTAACCCGTTTTCATTATTGTTAAAAATTTACCCATTTGACCCTCACCCGATCCATTTAGCCTAACATTTTCACCAGCGTTACTTTCACCTCCCATTATGGTTTTTAGATGTTTTTCCGAAATAAAAGATAAAGGTTCCATTTTATGGTTATTAGTTTTACAACAATAAAGGTGGTTAGTTGTACAACAATCTTTAAGAAACTTTTCTATGAAAGTTAATATATATATATATATATATATATATATATATATATATATATATATATATATATATTAAAATAGGACCATGCATACGAACAGAGGCTATTGACAAATCTGGTCTTTTGTTTATGGTACTCTGTTATCTTCTAAGGCTAAGAGGAGTGGGAGTGTTAAAAACCTTCGCTAAACTCGTTAAGCCCAAATGTACACCACCCCTGGCACTCGCTAGGGGGGCTGTTAAGGTGAGTTCGTCAAACATTTAACGAGAGGAGAGAAATAGAGTGCTTGTTTGTGATTGGTGGAAAGAGAGGAGAGAGAGAGAGAGAGTGCTTCTTTGCCGTTGGTGGAAACTCATTTCAATGAATTTACCGTTCAAACAAAATTCAATCCCCACCCCCCCTTCTTTTTATTAAATCCGATTTTTACCTTGCTTTAATTAAAAATTCAACTTTTTACCATTCCCTTTTTTATAAATAAATCTGATTTTTACCTTAATTTAACTTTTTCATTTATTTAAATATCAAGTGTTTGTCTAGTATTAACATGTTTTTTTTTGTTTTTAAAAATATAATTTATATTTATATTAACTGTTTTTGGTTAAAAGAATAAAATATGTTTAATATTTGTGTACAAAAAATGTTTGTATATTAAAATAAAATAATTTAATAAAATTAGAAAAAGAAAATCAAAAGAAAAAAAATGGAGTGTTAGGAGTGTTACCACTCCCTACCAAATGCTAAGATTAAGTGTTAAATTGTAAAAAATGAGGTGACATTAAAAAATGTGACTTGACAAGGTGTTAAGAGTGTTACCACTCCCCTTAGCCTAATATGTTGCTGCCCATTTTTGTTTTGGGCAATTTATGCTAATTTCTCAATTCTTTATGGACACGTGTTGACACGTGTTCCTCACATCTTTTCTTTACCGTTTTTTCGTCCCTGGCTTCCACCGGGTTAATTCATCCACCGACTCCACCGCCTATTTACTTCATGTATTCGGCTTAGACTGGATGGTTCCCAGGCTTCCAACGAGGTTACATCTCTGCCGATCGGTGGCTTCGCCTCTGTGACCATCAGAAGCCACGACCTGTACCGATTCATCGATCTTCAACATCAAACGAACCCGTCCCCATCTCCAATTGCTTCCCTTTTCTCTGCCGACACCGACCTAGGTGCAGACGAAGACCGAGAAATGAAGTCGTTTGACGATGCGATGTATCACTCCGCCATCGCTTACGTGTGTTTCTTGTGCGAGAAATGCAGAAACGAGAGCTAGGTAAGCAAGGCGGAGGGTATGGTGATTCCTGCACACCGGCGGAGAAGAGAGGCCGCCCTTTTGGAAGCACTAATAGCAACTTAGTTGCAGCTGCGGCAGCTCTATCGACACTCCTTGGCCCATCGCTCCAAGTTCACTCCTCTTTCGCTGGTTAGACCTTTTTCAAAACCCTAATTCTTTTATTATTCCTCTATTCTTTGCGAAACATCAAAACTGTGTTAGCTAGCACTTTCTGAATCCGTAGTTTTATCTAGGTTTTGTTACTAATTTATCTTCGGTACGCAAATATTGTAAACATTGTCTTAGGTTTTATGCAATTTTCTATTTTTTATAAGGAAAATGCTTAATATCCGCTACACATCTGAAGCTGAAAAGCAAACATATGTTTATTAAAAGCCATTGCTTACTCCTCTTATTGGAAATGTAGTATCGTCATCAGTACTTTCAGATTTTATTTTCTAAATCATAGTTGATTATACGAGTAATACTAAAAAGTGCTTATTTGTTGACACTAGGTTGTAATATATTTGTGACTTGTGAGGAGTCATTGTTACCAAATGATGTATGTTTTCATTGATGCCATATGACGATTGTGTAAAAAACAAATTATAAACCCTTATTGCTTATTTTCCAGCCAAAATCATCGAGAAATTTAATTCCCTTAGATGATGCTATCTATGCCCAGATTAATAGAAATGAGAGTAATTCTACAATGTTGAATAATTGTAATCATAATCAACTATAATGAAGTTAGGATAGAGTTTGAGCTTTGTTGTTTGAAATTGAATAACGAGATAAAGAATCGATTGATCTAGGATACATAATTTAGGTTAATATCAACTATCTCAGTTCTTAACAGACGCAATCAGTATTGGAAAGTTGAATTTGATTCACTCGAGGTGTAATTTGTTTCTTTGGAGGTGTAACAGACGCAATCAGTATTGGAAAGTTGAATTTGATTCACTCGAGGTGTAATTTGTTTCTTTGGAGCTAGATTCATTAGGAACCCTTCTACATGTTTTTTTCAATACCATAAGCTTTGTGGATATACAAGTTCCATTTCAATGAGTTCTAAATGCATCAAATATATAGTTTACTATGTTCAATTGTTCATCCACAGCTCTAGATTTGAAATACCAACTAGAATTCAAAATATATTTGTTCTTTCTGACTGGAGATATGGATTTAAGGTACAAAAGTTTTCTTGATGAATGGGAAACGGACCTAAAGGTGAAATGCGTTCTGGTTGAGGGCAGCTCATCACGTGCTTTTTCAGCAGGTATCAAGAATCAGAGTTCTGTTGTCTTCCATAAACTATCTTCTCCATTTCTACAACACATATGGGTTGATGATATAATCACTTATATATATTTTCCCATAAATCTGTTACATTTTGTTAAGATTATATAATCCTAACTCTAAGTTATTTGTATCTACAGGGTATTCGCTGCTGAATATTTGAGTACAAAAAGCCATACATAAGCTTCATGGATGGTGTAACAATGGGATTTGGTATTGGCCTATCTGGACATGGTCGCTACAGAATTATAACAGAGGTAAGCCAACAGCATTCATGTGGTAAAAATGTAAAAATGTAAAAATGTAAAATTCATCATAATCTTAAACCATAAGTTATAAAGTAATGATCTTTTTTCTTTTTTCTTTTCTAGGAAACTCTTCTTGCTATGCCAGAGAATGGAATTGGTTTGTTTCCAGATGTTGGATTTGCTTACATAGCAGCACAAACTCCAGGAGAAGGATTAATTGGTAAATATCGACACCAAAACTTAACTTAACAAATTATTCACTCACAAAAAGAACAAAAAAATACGGAATATCATGTTCATGTGATTATTGATTTGTAAATTGTATGCACATGTGCATATCTTGGAATCATAGGGAACATAATTTCAAATCCAGCTGATGCACTTTATGTAGGTCTTAGGACACATTTTTTCCCATCTGGAAGTCTGGGCCCACTTAAGGAGACTCTCTTGTGAACTACATTGTATATTTCTTACTTTCCCTTTTGTTTTCATATCCTAATGACACATAATCAATAAAAATATCATGTATATGTATATATATTTGTGATTTGTATACAGTCCTGAGGATCCACATCATGAGCTGAAGCAATATTGGGGAAGTATAGTAGCAACCCTGAGTCAGAGTCCAAATTGAAGTACTTTTGCCTCATATAGTTTCAACATTTGGTGCAAATAAATCTGTTAAAGAAATTACAGAAGAGCTGGAAAAGTATCAGCAAAATACTGATGCATCAGGTAAGAATCCAAGGTTTTAAAGTTATTTCTTTTTGACTTACCAGGCTTAATAGGGGCAAATTCGTAAAAAGAAACACCCTATTGTGTGCAGTTTCACAGTGGGTCGCCTTAGGGTATTAATTACTTTTTTACTTTTCATTTTATTTTAACGTTATTTATCAAATTCCTATTGTGTGCAGTTTCACAGTGGGTCGTCGGTGTTGTTTATAGCATTCGAACATGTTTTGTTTTTCCCCAAACCATATGGAGAAAAGCCCTAGCTGCATCAATCTTCCGTGTCGATTCTCTTTTTTCGGAGAAATTTTACTTTACTCTCTTAGGTAACATATTATACTCTTCTCTTGGTTTCTATTTTAGTTATGTTAGCTTCTCTTTTCTGGGTAATCTAGGACCCTCTTTTACAGAACAAGAGCTAAATCAAGTATGTTTAAGGTTAATATTTTTTGATTATTTCTTTGGAACTTATATGACTTCCAGATTTACCATCATTCTTAATTTTCTGATGTTGGGGATTTGTGAAATTTGTTTCGTAACTTTCAAATTCATGGCATCATTTGATGTTTTTTGTGCTGATCAATTTGTAAAACCTCCCAGACCAATATACATATCTGTCTTATTTATATTTTATAACATGAATTTCCAAGCTTCTTAATGTGATTATAGAATTTGCTGTTTAAATTGTTTTATTGTTTGATTTTTGAATTACAGGTGGATGTGGTTCTTTTTTTTTTTTTTTTTGTTATATGACTTTTACACCTATAAATTTTTAGCTCATGCTTCATTTATCACCAGACCAGTCATTAACACCATCGAACCATTCACTGTTCATGACGGCCCGGTGGAGTTGGTATCACTGTTTAATTCGATTACGGAGAAATGCCACGAAGACCTTTGGAAGGTAGATTTAGCATATTTCTATGTATCTTTTGCTTGCGAGTTAAGTGTACTGGAATTTCATCGTGTGAGCTTCTGTTTGGAATTTATGAAAGTTGTTGTAATGTGGTTATTTTCTGGATGTGTATCTACATGTTTTTACATGAAAAAAAATTGAATTTGCTGGTAATCATTTGGAATTTCAAGAAATTTAAGGTGTAATGGTGTATGCTTCTGTGCATATGTTTGTTGTAATGTAGTTGATTTGTGGGGCTGTTTTTTTTTTTTTTTTTTTTTGACTTTTCTTATTACTTCATCAGATTGATATTGTAGAAAAATATTATGAATTCATTTTCATTTATTAGATTTTAAACCAAGTTAGGTTACTAGACTTTGGGTAAACCTGCTTTGGAAGCAAGAGTAATACCAAAACTTTATGGCGAATTAGGGAAAATATTTTTTTCCTTGGTTGGTGTTACTTAGCCTACTAAATTGGCCTCGACCTTACTGTTTTTATTTTGCGCTAAATTGTTTAATCTTATTGAAATCACTGCATTCATATTGTTAATAACACAATTTTTTTTTTCAGGTTGACAGCAAAGAACAAGTTCTTACAGTACTTGATTTTTTTTTTTTTTTTTTGCAATAGTATGTGTATTCAGTCGAGCTGCAAAATGGCAAAAAAAATAGGCTTTTGCTATCATGGCAGATTCAGTTGAGCATTCATTCGACAGAGCAAACATATCAATGTTATCCACCCCAGCCATCTTATGAGCATAAAAATTAATTTTGGTATATGTAGTAAACAGCATCTTACTACAAACGTGTGATGAAAAAAACATCTGTTGATTAGAGATGAAGTTTCTGTTTCAATGAATAAATCAATAAACTATGTACCGTAAACTCCTTTTAGAAACCGTTTAATCAAAATCCAACCCCCGCAACGCGGGGTCACTTTTCTAGTTTACATTTTAAAAAAGACACAAATGCATCAAATTTATTATTGAATAATTACTAATTTTAAATAATTATGATCTTTGCCAAATAAAAATATAAAACAGTTGTTGATATGGTAGTGGAGATCCCTTTTGAAGAAGGGTTGATATTGCATTTGATGTAGAGATAATTACATACGACAAATTTGAAATAAGAGTGAGGATGGTCTAATTTCTAAGATGACAACGGGGGTAAAAACTCATATCACACTGAGTTTTCATTAGGGTTCTCTTCTAATGCTTTCTGGATGTCAGCCTGCATCATGGAACAGCAACAGATCAAACCCAAATCACCCATTTCTATGTAAATGTTCAGTAGCAACTAATATATATATATATATATATATATATATATATATATATATATATATATATATAACAAGAAACATATGGTGTGTAGCGTAGTGTACCTCAAGGCTGGATGGTTCAGTCCTTGGGCCAACTCGACGTATTACTTTGCCTTTCTTACTAATTAGAAACTTTGTGAAGTTCCATTTGATGGTTGTGCCCATATATCCACCACCTCCATTTGCTTTCAAATACTTGAACAATGGTGCTGCTTCAGTGCCATTCACTTTTACCTGGTTTCTTAAACAAGCAAACATATGAAAACAAACCCCAGGAATTAACATGAGGATGAAAAGTGAAATGGATGAATGAATGAATGAAAAAATTTACTTTTCCAAAAATTGGGTATTCAGCACTGAACCTCTCACAGACAAACTGGACTGTCGCTTCTATCGGCCCTGGTTCTTGCTTCAAGAACTGATTGCAAGGGAATGCCAATATCACAAAACCTGATTCAAGATATTGCCTCAGCTTCATAACTCAGGCTTTGAAACCTAATCAGGTCAACTCAAGTTTCATAAAGTAAAGTAGCCTTCTAGTTTTGATGCTTTATAGTCTTGTGAAGTACAAGAAACATGTGTTTGGATGTGAATTTCAGATTATGATTGTGACATCAAAATTCATAATCAAGAAACCATTGATTGGATTAATGATGGTGATAGTATGTGATTTTACATCTATTATTGGTCATTCTGTTGTGCATGAAATTCATTGACAAGCAATATGTCGGATACAATTACTTACGAAATGATACTGAAAAGTGGGTATGAGCTGATACCTTTATCCTTGTATTTCCTGTAAAGCTCGGTAAGTTGGGTGTAATTCGAATTGGTTAATGCGCTGTTGCATTATAACCAAAAATTGATTGATCAGAAACGAAATCCAATATGAAAACAAAAACTCAACAATCAAACCCTCAAACAAAAATGAACATACAAGCCCTGAATTGGGTAATCGAAGCTAAATTAACTAATTAAACACGCATTATGCAATACGATCGAAAAGGATAATAGGAATATAGAAACAACCATTTGGAAGCAACATTGACGATAAGCAAAACTTTCCCATCGTAGATGCTAAGATCCACGTCCTTTCCACTGCTATCCTGCATCTCAAATTCAACGAATTTAAAATTGAATGAGCCCGGTTTCACTTTCAACGCCTTTTAAAATCGCATGAATATGAAGCCACATTCCACGAATTTCAAATAGAATGATTTAGGTTCGCTTATAACGAATTTCAAATCGTACGAATCTTAATTGAAATCTGAAAATTTAACGATTTGACACACGATGATTATGGAAAAATACCTTGACTGTGAAATCATGAACTGATGAATTGTCATAGACAGAGGAAGTGGCACCCATTTTTGGATTTCCGATGATTTTTGAAGAAGAAGTAGATGATCGATCATTTTGAGAATGAGAAGCAGAAGCCACCAATTTTCTAGATTTGTAATTTGTATTGAAAAACAACCCCGATTCTCCCGCGACTGATATATTCTTCAGACAAAACTACAAAAATGGTCCCTTTATGACAAAAAATAACATTTTGGTCCAAAAAGTTTTGGACTAGCTTTGAACTTTGATTTTGTTGCCAGATTGATCCAATTTTCTTTGAACTTTTTTTATAATGACGATTTTGTCCTATTTTTTTTAATATTTTATTTATTTAAATACTTTTTTGATTAAAAGAAAAATAAAAAACAATATTTCATTTTATTACAACAATTAAAAAAAACTAAAATACCACTATCCCCATTCTTCTCCGTATCTCTTTTTCTCTTACAACAAAAAAGTAACACTTTTCAATCCAAATCCCTCTCTCTCATACATACACACACACAAACACACACATACGGCGATGTCATTATATAGATCCATGTTGTCGAATCTATGCCAGTCGTAGCTCAACGTCTTCGTCGGAAAAGAAGCGATGGTTTCAGACGGTAGTGTCATCGTCGAAGTCGTTGTTTTTAGATGACTGATGACGACAAAAACCTAGCTCTTCGGATCAAGATTCGTCTTCTCCGGTAGTGGGAATCGATCAAGGAACCCAAGGGATTTTCTAGAAGCTTTTCCTCATCGGAGATTGGTGGTGGCAGAGATGACGGGGGGATGATTCATCCTAATCGGAGTCTTTGCTGAAAAATCGATGGTGGTGGTGGTTTTGACATATGGTGGAATTCAACAAGAAGGATGACCGAAGAAAGAGGGTGACGACTCCGGTGGCATTCGCCTTTGTTTTTCAAGATCGAACCGAAGAAGGACGACTGTTGCTAGAAAATCGACCACAAATGCTGGTGCCGAACAGATCCGGTGACATAGGAGAAGTCGTCGTCGTCTTTTGTTTTCATATCTATGAAAGTCGATGGAGGACCAACTGGTCATTGCCGGAAAAATGATATTGGTGGTGGTGTTGAACTGGTGACGATGGTTTACAGATGGTAACATTGGTTTCTGACTGGTAGCGATGGTTTTCGACAGGTGGTGGTGGTGGTTGTTGTTTATATTATACTTCTGTTGAGATAAGAATAGACATGTGGATGATCGAACAATAGAAATACCCATAAAATAGTTAAGTGGCCCAAAGTCAGTCATAGCAAACTCATGACTGAGTTTGGTTGATGAAGGAGACCTACAGACGAAGCTATGAGAATAATATCATAAACATGTAATAATAAGTAAGTTGTCACCTCGGTTTGATGTGTAGGAGGGGGAGACTGGTAGTTGTTCTGGTTTGGGTTGGTGGAGGGGTTGAAGGGGTTGGTTTGTGATGGATTTGGTGTCTAAGCCCATAACTATATCTGGTATGTACTTGACCCGATTGTAGCATGGTCCTTTTGGGTTGCCTTCACCAGTGCAATTTGATAGGATGGACTTTTGAGAATAAGATTATTGGTGATTTATTAATATATTATAAGTATAATATATTAATTGAGAAATCATATTATTTAATTAGTATTGGTCAAGAATTAATTTGGAATTAATTTTGTGATCAAAAGTGACTAATTAAATCTAAGGGGTTGATTATGTAAATCATCCATTCTTATAGTGTGGGCCAAAGATCCATTAGGGTGGGATAAGTGGTTCATGGATAGTCCATGAAGCTTTAACCCATGGAACCTAAGGGATATGGAAGGTCATGGTGCATTAGGGTTTCATGGATGAAACCCTAGCCTTGAGAAACACTATAAAAGCCTCCCCTTGGTGTCAAAATCGGCTACACATGTACACAAGACATAGAACCGATTTTTGAAGCTACAAGTCTTATTCTCTTAAGCCTCCTTTGCATATTGTTGTTTGTGACACATTAGAGGCACAACACTTGAGGTGCTCAAGCTTCCAAGGTCAAGAACTACACAAGAGGTAAGTTATCTAACTAGTTGTTACTTTGAATTGTATGCTAGTTAAGTTATATGCTTTGGAAATTTGAAAATGCATGTATAATTAGAGAAAACATAGTTCCAAAGCTGAAAACCCAACAGTGGTATCAAAGCCTAGGACTGCTTTCTGTTATACTTGATGCACACTTGTTTTCAAAGCTGAAAAACCGACTTTTCTGCATTATGACAGATGAACTCGCCGAGTCAATAAACATACTCGACGAGTCCAGTCAGTAAGGCATCAACTCGGCGAGTCCAGTTCATGTACTCGACGAGTTGGTGCTCCTGTGTGCAGAAACTTCGAGTTCTTGGCCACAAATGGATAGAGTCATTACCACAAACTGTTTTGTAATCATAACAATTGTATTTTCTGAATTGGTAATGATAGTCTTCATCCATTTAAAAGGCAATTTCCAAATGTTTAGATAATAAAGTAATTATATGTAGTATTTGATATGAATTGTCTTGTTATGAGTTTGTTTAGCTCAATAGGAAAAATTATATGATAATTATGTTTGATCCAAAAATTTGATCTAATTGTTAATGAAATGTGTTATTGTAACTTGTCCTCAAGTAATATGAAAAGTCACATTCATGGATATTAAAACTCATAATGGTTCATAGGTTATGAATATGAAAGGTCTTGAAAAGTTTCAAAACTTGCCCTCAAGTTTTGGAATTTTTAAAGTCACATTAATAAGACATTTAATTCCAAAACCCTAGAGTTTTAAAAGATTAAAATTCTACCATTATACTATTATAATATTAAATGTTAATACATATATATATATATATATATATATATATATATATATATATAAGAAAAGTCAGTCTTACCGTTAGTAGGCCTCATTCACGAAGCCAGTCTATAACGGGGTATAAGGTTACTGCCTATAAAATGGCAGTTTAATGGGTGTCCATTCTCACCCACCATTTCCTTGACTGGTGGAGGGTCGTTAGCCGAACGGGTAGGACAAGACATTAATTCTCGTTAAAAGTATAATGAAATTATAAAGTAACTAAACCTATAATTAAACTCTCAATCTTAGTTACTTTAGGAAAAATGTGAATAGGTGCTAATCCATGAAATTACACTTTTCACTTTATTAAGTCGTTAGTGGAGCGTGTGTGGTTAACCGGCACACTAATTTGGGACTAATAAAGAATGGCAAAGGGTAGCTTAATGTTAATCATATATCAATGGAGCATGTGTGGTTAACTGGCATATTGGTTATGGGATTTGTAACATTAAGAGTACCAAGTATATTTTCATGGTTATTCACACCTTGTTTGTGATCCTCGGCATCCCAGTCACAAACTTGAGAAGGCACAATCGAGATTTAAACATGCCATTGAAAGTTCAATGAATCTCAAAAGAATCTAGGAATTTTAAATCCAATTAAAACCTAATAAGTAATTTCGTTTTTCATGGTGGAAATTGGTAAATCGTCATTTACCTATCTTCAAATATTTTACAATTGGATTACGACATCCCTCTTCGCACTTGTAGAATATTGTGTTGGATCCTAGCATTAATATTTCATTTGGGTGATTTATTAAGTATTCTCATCTAATCTAAACTTTGTTCCTTTTCTTTTATATATGTCTATCCCAAATAATGCTTCAGGCTCAAACCCTTCAGGCTCTTTCTCCCTAATGAACTTAGTAGGGAGAACCAGCTTTAATGGATCCAACTTCAATGATTGGATCAGAAACATTTGCATGACCCTTCGATATGAGGACAAAGAATATGTCCTAGACAAGGAGCTGAAGGAAATTGATGAGCAAACTGCTACTCCCGAGCAAATTGAGGAGTACCGGGTTCATGAGAGGGACGCGACAAAAGTGTCGTGTATAATGATAGCTACCATGTCTGTTGAGCTACAAAAGTCCTATGAGGACTTCTGGCCTTATGAAATGCACCAAGATTTGATGGAAAGGTACCATCAATCAGCTCGGCATGAGAGGTATGAGATCATAGCCTCCATGATCACCACTAAAATGAAGGATGGAGAGTCCATCACGGGCCACTTGTAGAAAATGCAAAGATATGTGGACCGCTTGCTAAAATTGAATGTCAACTTTGATGAAGAATTAGCTATTGATATTATTCTTCATTCCCTACCTCCTTGTTATGATTAGTTTCGTATGACCTATCATATGAACAAGGAGGAGGTCACTCTTAGCAAGCTTCAGGGACTCCTCGGAACTGCTGAAAGCAACATGAAAGGCAAATCTGTTGCTACTACTCCTACTCCTACTGCTACTGCCCCTGCCCTGGAAATTGGACATGGTAAGGGTAAAAAGAGGAAGGCTCCTTCCAAGGGAAAGTCCCGGGATGGATCTTCTTCTAGCGGAACCAAAGTTGGTTCTGTTGTGCCCTCTACCAATCCAAAGGAAGCAGAGTGCTTCCATTGCCATGAAAAGGGGCACTGGAAGTGAAGCTGCCCAAAGTACTTGCAGGATATTAAGGATGGGAAAATCAAGCCCTCCTTTGCAGGTATTTACACTATTCATTCTAATGATACATCACATGCTAATTCTTGGGTCCTTGATACAGGTTGTGGATTTCACATGTGTTCTGATTTGCAGGGACTAAAAAGAAGTAGGGATGTGGAGCACGGGACGATAAACTTAATAATGGGAAATAGGAAAGTGTCGCCTGTGACCAAGATTGGAGTTTATTCTTTATTGCTTAGTAATGGTTTAAAACTAGATTTGAATAATTGTTGTTTTTCGGCCGATATGGCGAGAAATATTATTTCCTTTCACAGTTTGTATAAACAAGGTTTTACCTTTGCTTTTAATAATAATAACGGTGGTATTTATGCTTATTATAATGGTGTATTTTATTTTGAAGCTTTACCTTGCAATGATGTGTATGAAACTGTGAATGTTGTAGATAATCTAGGAAATAATGTGTTACACATTGATTCATCCAATGATTTGGATAAAGCATGCTTATGGCATTATCGTCTTGGACATGTCAACAAGAAGCACATAGCCCAAATCCAAAAGGCTGGAGTCTTGGAATC